TAATAAGTAATATTTTACAATATTTATGGTTCTTTCAGACCAGTATTTATTTCAGCGTATAGCATCTTTTTAAATTTAAAACACGACTAGTCTTTTTCCATTTTTAGAGATGCCAGTAGAAAGGTAAAATAGAAACTGATGTTAAAAGTGTGCTTTCTGTTCTTGTGTGTTCAGTGTGGAGCTCTACTGTGCAGTACTCACTCTTATTTCTCAGCTGATAATTCACCTGGGTGAACCCAAGCCACAGGTGAGTATTAAATAATATTAAACTAATTTTTAAAACTAAATGAGATTTCCATGGAGTAGTCATCAAGACTGTTTGACCATCTGAGCTGGAGTATGTTTCTGTCTCATACATTTTCAAGCAGAGTATGCTTGTCTTTTTATTTTTAATGGCGTCATGCAACACAACACAGTGACCATGGCGTGTTTCATTCTAACTACATTCTAATCTGAGCAGTGCTCATTTCAGTGGCATTTAATCAGGCGACTTGAACTGAACCAAACCAAAGAGCCCTAACCAAAGTTTGTGTGTTTCTTTAACCCACTTCATAACACTTTAATACTAAAACAACAGCTGTTTTATTTACATAATACATATACTGTGATAAAAAATACATTACAATTCTTTGGTAAATATTATTGTATGGTAAATAATATCATAATGGGCAAGAAAGAAATCAGTAACTATAATATAATAATAAGAACAATGAGCTAATGTAGAGACAAAATCGTTAAATTTGTTTCAGGGCTGCCACTGACTGAATCCAGGCATTCATGACACTTTACTCAAAAAAGCAGTAATTGTTTGTTTCTGTATTGTTACCTATTTAATATTTGAAATAATATAGACATCATTCTGCTTCATTTGCTGTATTCTGAGACCAGTCACAAGTTTGTTTTCTATGGAAAAAAAACGTGTTTAATGTGAATCGAGGAACCTGAATTATATTTATTAGTTTGAAGAAGTTAGTGCTTTTGACATTAATGCATTAACACCTCCATTTGTTTTTTTTTATTATTATTATTATTACCTATGCATTGAAAATATTACACAATTAACCCATATTTATCCACATCATGTGCCATGTCATACAGGTTGCTTTCACACAGATTGTGTGGAAATGCATGGCAAACACTAGCGTGGTTCAGGGTGTTGAATGCAGACAATAAAAACACAGCTGAACACTTCCTAAATTATGCATAAAATCTTTTTGATCATTTAAACAGTATTATACCACTATGTTTAGCGTACATTTTGAAGGCACAAACCCCATTTCTAATCTACTTGTGTTGTGAGGCAGGCGCTTGGTGAAGCAGAAGTGCTGCTTTTGAACCGATGGGGGGCGCTAGTCGTCCAGGGCTGCGGTGAAGAGCAACCAGCCGAAGTTAAACTGTTATCAGCAGAGGTGCTGGTGAAAGCCTTTCCTTCTTTACTGACGGCACCAGCCTTGCCTATGGGTCAGTCTTCATCTTTAAACAAGTCCATAGCAACCTAAACAACAACTTATGCAATGACTGAGTGATGCTTTGGTGTGTTTTCCAGGGATAACAAAAACCTTAGCGCTATGGAAGAGTCTGTTTACATTACTACAGGATGAAGATCAAGATGTCAGGGATGAGGCAGCTAATTTCACCTGCCACATTCCAGCACATTTGCTCAGCACAGGTTAAGATTCATTTGTTTGCAAAAAAAGTAAATTAGAACAGAGGAAGTTTTTTTGTTCTTTTTGGTGTATGTGGAGCAGAAAGGTTTTATTTTTGAAGTCTTTAAAATTTGAAAAGTGTTTATTTCTCTTGTGTGTGGCCTGACAACTCTGGCCTCTGATTGACAAACAACTCCTAAAAAATAATGCTCAACTGTGAGAAACTGGTCTGAATCGGAAGAAAGTACTGCTTTATTTAGCTTAAACATTAGAGATGCTATTTTCTAAACACATGCTGAATTACAAAGAGGGTAGGGGGAGGGGAAAGGGGAAAGGGGAAACCCTCAGCCCCTTTCCACATGTACCCAGGTATTATGAGAATGGGTATTTTTCTGCATGGTTACATTGTCTATCCACACATAATCACATGTACGGGCCATGAGTACAGAGCTCATCACAGCTGCAGGAAAATGTTGGCTGTTGATTGCAGTGGTCCCACCAACATCACTTCACCCCCTCACCCTCCTGCAATGTTCTTCTGTCTTATGTCTGATATGTGCTTGGTTGTATTGGCCATTTCTCTGTTTTCTAAGTCCTGCCTCTCACCAGTGATTTGCAGTGTTTCCCTTACCATTATATTAGGGGGGCGCCCCTTGAAGGTCAAGTTAATTTTATTTTATTTTCGTCGAATAACGACAGAAGTAATTTATATATGACAGGTCTTTACTTATTTCTTTTATTAAACTAAATAGCATTATGTTATTTATACGATGGCATGTAATTTCTGTCTCAACGTTTGCGCGTTTACAATTGTCCTCCGTATCGCGCACGGTGGAGTTCCGCCCCGATGCGCACGCACCGCGGAACTTGTGACTTCCTGTTGTGATGTAACTTCCTGTTCAAGTTAACCAGACAATAAGGTTCTATTTTTTTCTGTTACAATAGCATCAAGAGCATGGCAATCAAAACATTACCATTCTCTTCTACTTAATACCCTTATGGTTGAAATATCTCTGTGTTTTATCAACGAATATTTGTCCACCTTTTGGATTTTGTTTGTTTTCCTGCATATTCAGGTTTCGCCGTTGTTTCAGTCACTCCGCCTGTTGCATTGGAAATGGGGGTGAGTTTCCTGTGCCATTTATTCCAGTTGTGGCAGCAGGTTGACGCTGGAATGGTGAGCTTGATGGAGTGGCTCCTCGGAAATGAACTGACATTCGATAATTGTGAAGAATCAGCAAAAGTGGTAAGATATTTTTTTTTTGTAATAAATGCCATGATATTTGAAACTTATTGAGGATATTTGTTAATTCTTAACATGGTGGATAATAAATTCATTAATTGATAATTCAACGTAAAAATGGGCCATTCAATAAGCCATTTTTTCTCAAAGCCCAACAAATACAGAATATATCTTGAAAATGTTTATTTCAGTAATTCCATTCAAAATGTGAAGTTTATATAATGCAAATTATACAAATATTTTTTTTTATTATTGAAATATTCACCTTCTGTTCAGTATAAGTGGGGTATGTGTAAGACACAATCTTAACTATCACAAAATCTGAATGAGCAAGGCCTTGCTATGTCGCAAGTTAGTTTCATAATAACTTAGTTCTGACTTCGGCTGAGTCTTCTTTTCCACATTTTAGATGTTGTCCAACCATTCGTTCATATTTCTCATTCTTTTCCAATGGCCTATTCTTAAGGTTTTTTTTTGTTGTTTTTTTGAGGGGGGAGGGGGTAATGTATGTTATGAGAAGAACAAGAAACCTTGACATTGTCTCTCTCTGTAATATTTGTGCATGAGCCTGAACTGGTTTCCAGTTTAAGCTTCCTGTGAAAGGATGCTTTCTTTCCCAGGATGAAGAGTTTCTCTTTGAGAAGAGAGATATTAACCTGTGGGCAGAGCCTTTGTTATGGGCACGGATTTTGCACAAACACCTCTCTGCCATCCTAAATGTGGTTTCGTCTGGCATAGACAGGGCAGAACTGGACAGACTGCTGCTCATAGCACACAATAACATGCAGCTAGCTGTGCTTTTAGAAGATGCTCTTCCTGCTCTGCCTCAGTTTTCCTCCACCATTGAGTTCTTCAAAATGACTCTGCTGAAGGAGAAAACATGCCTTGCTCTGGATCTGCTTGAGAAGCTCGGACAGCTCTGAAGGATTGTAAAGGAAATTATCACGGTGCATCATGTATCTATTTTAATCTTACAGGGTTTTTAAATAGAAATTCAATAAATGAAAACATTTGCATCAGCATCGCGTCTATGTATCTTAATGGTGTGACTTCTTTTGAAGGATGCAGTGGACAACTTTCACATGTTGAGCTTCCTTATTGCACCAGTAATTTTCAACTGAGCTGACTAATATAGCTGCAGTATGTGTTGTGTGAATGCCAGAGAGAACTTATCAGCTTGTGAGAAATGAGCGTCTGATATTCCAAATTTAAAATGAAAAACTACATGATGTAAACCTAAACGGGAGAGAAAAGAGGGCCACGAAGGATCCTGTCTCATCTGTTTCTAGATCTGTTGTCTTGTGGAAAGCAGCTTGAAATGTTGTGCAAGCTAAAAATGTTAATGTATATAACATAACAGACAGCACTAAACAACATAGGATATCGGGTTTGTGTTTGTTTAATACTCGGTAAACATGAGTTTCTACCATATACAGCACGTATCAGAAGCACCTCTGTCATTCAGTAACTCACCACTGGTTCATCGTGAAATGAACCAATGGTCAAAGAGCAGCTATTTCCTCGCTAACTATTACTGATCAGATCGTGGAAGAGGAAATATGACAAACCAATCTCTTCATCTTAACATTGAAAAGTGGATTGCTGACAATGAGAAATCATTCCTTCCACCAGTTTGCAACAAATTAATGTAAGTGATCGAAATCTGAACTAAGCAATGCACACTTTAACTGTGATCTGAACATGTTCTGTAGGTTCTTTCATCAGCTCAATGTTATGTATGTTGGAGGTCCAAACGTCAGGAAAGATTATCACATTGAGGAAGGAGAAGAGGTGAGGTTTCATTTATTTACTATTTAATTTAAAATGAAAAGGCATTGAAATAGAAAGAAAAAAACATAATCGTCTCATTGCTAGAAGAGATAAATATGATATTTTGCTTTTTGGAGATTTTCTAGGGATCATGTAGATATTTGTTAATCATTATAAGAGAGGCTTTTCCAGTTGCAGAACAAAGTTCATGTTCTAGAACTTGGCTTTATTCCAGAGGGAAAACTCTATGTGACCTCAAATAAACTTAAATTACGCAGGGGCTGCACACAATTTCTACAAAATTCACCATTATACTTGATTCACAAACATGGTTATAAGATGCTTACTGTGTTTTAGTCAGTAGAGCATTGTGCTAGTACCGCAAAGTTTGTGGGTTCAAACCCCAGGGGAAGCAGGAACTTACTAAACGTGTGCTTCATCTGCACAGGTGCCAAACCATTCCCTCTTGAGAGCGTGCTAATCAAAAGCCCATTTAATCAAAAGTGTTGAAACGAAATAAAAATTTACAAATCCCCCATTTTCAAAACATTGTGAAAATTGTATTTTTAAAAAACATTTGAACTTCTCCTAAACCGTATATACTGTTCCAAGCAACTTTTGTGCCATTGTGTTGCGTTTTGTGCCAGAATTTGGGAAAAACACAAGCCATATCACAGGTATTGTGATATATTATCTCTGATGGCATGGATTTGTGGCATGTAAAATCATGCATTTTCTCACATTTTAATTTGAATTGCCTTGCAAATAACTCTTGTAATGTTCCTTTATAACAAATTTAATGACTTTTTTTTAAACCTACACATTCTTTTTGAAATCAAAATTAAACAATATTTGTATTTTACACTCCTACTTTATTCAAAACAGACATTTTTCAAATATTTTATTACTAAATACAACTCGCTAACATTTGGCTTTGTGATGAAGCTCTTCTACCAGGTGAGGGGCGACATGGTTTTGAAAGTGATAGAGAATGGAAAACATAAAGATGTACATATTCGACAGGGTGAGGTAAGAATAATCCAGATTTGACCGGTTGATCAAGTAAGAGAGGAGGTTCTCCTCTCTGCTGTGTTTCCATTTGTAGATGTTTCTGCTCCCAGCGCGGATTCCTCACTCTCCTCAAAGACAAGCAAACACAGTTGGGCTGGTGATCGAGAGAAGGAGGCTGCACTCAGAGACAGATGGCCTCAGGTGTTTTATATATTCAGAAAAATAATGTTTTTTAGAAAAACTTGCATTTTACCTCCTGCGTGTGGTTTATTCTTAGGTACTTTGTGCAAGACTCTACAGATGTCTTGTTTGAACGTTGGTTCTACTGTGAAAATCTCGGCACACAACTCGTTCCCATCATCAACGAGTGAGTTCGTGTTTGAATCCATAACATTTGCTCTGCTTTTGTGAAAATGTATGCAAGTTTAAATTATTAATTTTTATGTCAGGTTTATGGCTTCAAAGGAGAATGAAACTGGAAAGCCAGATCCAGGTAAAACAATTGGCGCATCAGACTTTTATAATTATATACCGGTACTTGCCTTAAATTGTTTTAATGACGGATGCTAAAGAAACACTGTAACGTCAAGACTACTCTTGTACGTGCATGGTCACCAACTGACCCACATGGGAGTAATAGGAACCTTGTTTACTGGGGGATTTTATGCGTTCCCTGGCTATTCACTGGCATTGTTTATATCTATCAAAAGTTACATTTTGCAACTTTAAACACATCTTAACAGTCAATCTTTGAGAAGGAAAACACAGCAGCAGAACAAACTTGTTGTATTCAAACTTCACTTTTTGTAAACAAGTTTTTTTTTTTTTTGCTACTACAGCAATAGCAACTATATCAATGGAAATTTGCAAATATGTATTTTGTAGCTAATACCTCCCAATTAAAGTAATCTACTTGCACTCTTTTATATTACTAAAATGTAAGCTGATTTATTTTCTCTCATTTGTGTGTATGTTGTATTTGCCAATAAGAGTTTAGAAGATACAGTGCATCTAGTAACTGGGACCAAATCTCAAAGTATCTTCTTTCTAAAGCAACCAAAACCATTCTCAAAATGGTTTACAAACAGCATGCAATTTACCTTCTGTATTTCTTTTTTTGGCACATTTTTGCCACGTTTTGTCAGAAATCTAATATATTGTTTGCAAATACGTTAATAAACTAGACATATGTTTATGTTGTTTGATTATTATTCTTAGTTTACCAATAGACACACCTGAACACACCTCAGAGCAAAAGTTTCTGGCTTCAGACTTTCACTGGCACTGACTAACACTCTCCACTATTGGACTTACTTATTTGACTGGCACTCTATTGGATGGCACACTAGATGTGAGTTCATCCGTTCCAGAAGCACAGTGCTGACACCAAACATTTAAAAGTGTACTGTCAATATACAGATTAAAATCAATGTTCAAAATTGAAATATTGTGCTGTAGTCTTTTCCCTTGACTTCTATAATATGAACATGCTCCTTGTGATTGAAACTGTGGTCCTAAATATTAAAATATAAAACTGTTCAGAGTAAATAATTATTGTACTTTAACCTTTTTAAAATTGTGAATACCTGTGGTATCGTGGATAATTATTACATTTTCACATATTCATTATTGCACAGAAAACTTGTTTTGTGATTGTAGTACATTGAAGACCAGTAGAGGGCGACCTGGCGCTATGGTGATTGAGGTTAATACATGTAGAGAAGAAGTGTTATAGAAAGAATTAGAGAATTAGATGAGAACGTTTGTGTAACATAGAAGTGTTGTTCCAAGAAATTAAGTACTGTTAATTAATGCAAAGTGTAAAAAGCACACTTATTTAAAGATGCAACCACACCTGTTGGGAATCTTATGTCAAATTAATTAACTTTAAACAAAAACCAAACTACGCAATTTAGGACTAGTTGTTTGTACCCATATTCTATTATTAACGCGTTTGCGCTACCACGAATGAACGTATAACAGAGTGAAAGTTAAGAAAAGTGAAAGTCCAACAGTCACGTGCTAAATGCGCAGCAAGACCCTTTTCCCTCAGAGCTCGGATCTCGCAGTGCTTCCAGACCACATCCCCAGCTTTGACACAATGCTGACCACCTTTTTTTACTCTGTACCTAAGCAAGATCACTGACATTGAACTGTGAAAAAGAACTTGTATTTGAGATTTCTATTTATTCAAATTTCTGTTTGATTCGTGCAGCTAAACCCATCCAGCCAGCCCCTTTTCCAATGAACACGATGATTGTGATGACCCCATTCTGCTTTAGGGACTGGGTGGAAAAACAGAAGTCTACTCTTGCCAGTGGGAAAATGGTGGACATGTTTGGAGCTCAATTTGAGACTGAGGTGAAGAAGTAGATGAAGAGAAGCTAAACAGTCTTGTTATGTTACTCATTAGGTTCCGCTATGGCTAAAGCCGGATAAACTGGTTCATGCAATACTTTTGCCATCCAGTTCAGACAGAGCTGTGATATCCATTTGGCTTCTGGCTGACCGGACAGCCAAAGTTTATTCCAGCCTTGGGAAGGTTTCTCACTGATTAGTTTGGGAATTTACATGGCTTTGGCTGCAATACGTAGACAACAGATTAAGAGAATCCTTTTCTACAAAATTGGCAACTTTTTTACATTTAGCATGCTTTTTTTAGCATTAATCAAGAACCATATACAGTGTTTTGAAAATGTTGTCACTTTCAGACCCTTCTCTTTGGTTGTGGTTCATCTGCTTCCTCTAGAAGAACTGACGGTTGGATCTGGCAGTTGGTAAAAATGTTTTTATTTATTTATTATTATTACTTTCAATCTCTGCTATCTGTATTGCTAGATGTACATGCTGAATTGCCTACCAGCAGAGTCTTTTTAAAATCTGTTCCCTAAAGGAGCACTGTTTCTGAATAATGTTCAGTAAGTTGTTAAAAGCAATTAAGTTTATAAAGCAATGTCCCGTGCAACTTGACCCAGAGCAGTATTTCTCAAAAGTGAGTACACCCCTCAGATTTCTGTAAATATTTATTTATATATTTTCATTGGACAGTACTGCAGAAATGACTATTTGACACAATGAAAAGTCGCCAGAGTAAATTTTGTATAGCAGTGTAAATGTACCGTCCTCTCAAATTTACTAAAAATACAGCCAATAAAAGCTTTTCCACTCTTTCAACCTGGCCACTGTACGTTCAACATGGCACCTCGTGGCAAAATGAATAACTTTGTATTTATTTAACTGAAGACAAAGTGTGTTTCTACCTTTGTGTTGATTGCAATATATATTGTAATGTTGCCAATATGAGATTACTTTGTTTTCATTCTTTTCTCTTTTTTTTTCATTTAAAAATTTCAGTATTTATTTGTACTATGTATTAATGTATTCTAATAATATGTATTCAGTATTTATTTGTACTCCAAGCATTAATGCTCAATTAAAACATACCCTTTTACTATGTTTTATTTGGATTTTAGGAAGGAACGTCCAGCATAATAATGAATGCCAAAGAGTTCAGTCTAGCGGCAGGGGATTGTCTTCTAATTTTTGGAGAGACAAAGTGAGTTATCTCTATTTATTTATTTATTTATTCATGAATGAGTATTTGTTGTTAACAGTTAAATGTTGGATAAATGTGTTTGTTGTTAACCTTTGCTATGAACTTTTTAGGTATCAGTGGAACCGTTCACAGGATTGTGTTGCTTTATATGTTGCTCAGGATCCAGACAGAAAAAGACCCTGGTGATGTGTGGAAGAAAATTAAATTTGTCCCAAAACAAATGTCCATTTAAACTACGATTTCATGTAGTGTTTATGAACACTATTTAATGAAACCCTTAAACAAAACAGAATTTTACCACTACTGGTAAAATGAGACATGGACATGGCTGGGGGGCCATCAAAAGAGTGGTTTACTGTACCTTTCGGGGAATGCAATTTCAGGATCCTTAGTGTAATGTCAATTTCTAAAAAACTAAAAATGTAATTATTTATTTACTCAAAGTAGAAATTAACCTTTTATTTTTTTAATTTAATTCCAGGAACTGATGCCCTGGTTTTCCAGTAGTCTATAATTTTGTAATAGAACTGAAACAATTTGATAAAAATCAATTTTAAAAAACACTCAATAAACAATTGACATCAAAGCACACTGCCTCTTTCTGCTTCATAATTCTGGTTTAATACACACACACTCACAGAAGTGAAATAAAACACTCAATTACACAATTGTTATACAATTGTCTTAATTGAGATGTATGTGTTTGTTTCTTTTTCTAGACACGAATAACTGGCTGTTTGTGAATTTTTTCCGTAGGAGGTTATATTTAAAAGAAAGTTTATTGAAAAATAAAACAACCTTTTAGTGTTTTGTTCATGCCGAAAATGTCCTTTTTTATTGCAAGAATT